AAAAAAAAAAAAGGCCATTTGGAAGCAATCAGCCCTAGGATACGATGGCCCTTGAGACCAGAAGAACTAGATGATGCCCAGCTACCAATGCCAACCACTCAGGAAAGGATTAATCTGGAGATCCTGAATAGAGTGGGAGGGAAAACGTGGAACATAATCCAAAAACTCAATAATGACCAGAATTACTGGTCAGATGGAGTCTGATGAGACCCCCAATACTAGGGCCCTGGAATACGTTCTGCACCTGGAATAAAACGCACTCCCAAGGGCTGGCTCTCAGCCCAAGAGTTCACAAGATGTACATGCGGACCTCTTAACCCAGGATACTGCACCCACATACTCTATGGAAATACATCCCTGAAAGCAATAGACCAGGGGGCACCAGGGGACCAACATTCACAGAGAGGAAATGCAGGACAAACAGGAGGCATAAATAGGAGGGGCACAGGGGGAGGGTTACTGGGTAAGGAGAGGAGGAGACTGGGTTAGGGTTGGACATGGTGAGCGGGGAGTGAAACTAAATGTACACGTAACGTTGAATGTAAAGCACGCTCTTAAAATAAAATTTAAAAAACCTCATGAGAAATGATAACAGGGATAATGGATTGTGCATGATAGCTCTGAAAGCCCCATTTTTCTAACTTCCTAATATCTTTGTAAGTGAACAGAGGTTTTCAGAGTACCTGTGCTTTAAAGTCAACTAGCTTTCCAGAGTTGATACAATTAAACTTAAGGTAGATTTTAGATTAGTCTGTTGGAGCCCTGGTGGTACAGTGGTTAAGCACTGGGCTGTTAACCAAAAGTTCAGTGGTTCAAACCCACCATCTGCTCCACAGGAGAAAGATGTGGCAGTGTGCTTCTGTAAAGATGACAGCCTTGGAAATCCTGTGAGAGAGTTCGACTCTGTCCTCTAGGGGCGCTGTAAGTTGCAATAGCCTCACCAGCAGTGGGTTTGGTTTGGTTTGGACTTGCTTCTGCAAAGATGACAGCCTTGGAAATCCTGTGAGAGAGTTCGACTCTGTCCTCTAGGGGCGCTGTAAGTTGCAATAGCCTCACCAGCAGTGGGTTTGGTTTGGTTTGGACTTGCTTCTGCAAAGATGACAGCCTTGGAAACCACAGTTCTACCCTGTCCTATGGGATCACTATGGGTTGGGATTGACTGGATGGCAATGAGTTTCATTTTTTTTTTTTTTTTTGTTGGAAATTGTTTTTTTTGGGGGGGGGGTGTTGCAGGCTGGTATGAGAGGTCGTGGTTCTTAGTGGGGAAGGCTTTGTGTGCCCATTCTAGTTTGTAAGTATAGCGTATATATCTAATCTTCAGTGATAACTCGAAAAACATATAATAAATATTTGCTTAGTGAATAAGAAGAGGTGTGTGTGTGTTCACCTTCCTTCAAGGAGCTCTTGGGCAGTCCCAGTGGTTAGGTGCTTGACCCCCTGTATACATTTTGTTGAGGTTCCAGGGAAAGATGGAGTCTGTCTGCTTGACATTTTTATAGAAAAACAGACTTGCCCTTAGAATTCTGGGAATGAAATACCAAAGTATTTTCACGTGTGGGTGCTGCCTTTATACCTCTGGGAAATCCAGCAAGGTCTTTGGCTTTGTGTGTGTGTGTGTGTCTGTGTGTCTGTGTGTGTGTGTGTTTAACTGAATCAAGGGTTTTCTGATAAAGTTCTAAGTTTAGAAATCAGCTTACCAATACAGTTGAAAATAACTAGTTCTCAGGTACCAGTAGATTGATCAAGGACCTCTGGTGGCACAGTACATAAGGCATTTGACTGCTAATCAGAAGGCTGGCAGTTCAAACTCACAAGCCACTCTGCAGAAGGAAGATAAGGCAATCTACTTCTGTAAAGATTTTCAGCCTCAGAAACGCAACAGGGGTTGCTGTGAGTTGAAATTGACTTGATAGCAGTGGGTTTGGGTTTGGTTTAGTATATTTATCGTATTATATTCTTTGGACTAAGGAGCTCTGGTGGTGTAGTGCTTGAGGCATTTGACTGCTAACCAGGAGGCTGGCGGTTCAAACCCACCAGTCACTCCCCAGAAGGAAAGTTGGGCAATCTACTTCCATAAAGATTTACCGCCTCAGAAACCCAAAGGGGGATCTCTATGAGTCGGAATCGACTCCATGGCATTGTGTATTTTTTTTTTATTGTTTGTTTGTTTGTTTTTATTCTTTCGTCTTATACTCTGAGCAAACACTTATTTAGAATCAATAAATAATTGCTGTGCGTTAGACTCCATAGATGTAGCAGGCTCTGGTCAGGCTTCCCTTTTCCCCAGATGACTTGAGGGCTTAAGAAAAGTCATGGATCTTCTTTGATTCTTTGTAGAAACCCAAGTAATTGTTACTTGAAGCAAAGCCCACTCTAATCTCTCCTTTTGGCCTATGATTTTCTGTAAGCCCTACCATAATAGACCTTCTGCCCTGTGACTCCCGTTCTTGGAGCCTTCACCTTGACTACCCTTCAAACATTGTCTCCATCTCTGCTGTCTTCATAGAGTTAGATGAGAAGCCATCTTCTTTCTTCTTATTCTTGCCCTTCCCATGCCTTGCCAGTTTTCATTCCTTCCACAAAAGCCAGTGTTACACACAATTCCCTGGCCAGCCTGAGGGTGGATATGATCAACTGCCATCCAAAACCAGGTCTCTGTGAGTGTCCTCAATTACCGGGAAGACGTCTCCAGAGACCTCTGTCTGGGGCTGAGTGCTGCAGCCGATATCATTTAGGACAGCACATGTGCACCTGAGCTGTTTACCTTCCTACTTCCCACTGAGAAGGGTGGTTATGAACGGGCTGTGTTTTAACTCACTTTGGAGTTGTACATTGCATCTGCAAAGCTGTCAAATGCTTGAAAGCCACAAGCTACTATTTTCTGAAAGCTTCTTTGCACATGAGCATAAAATGGATGTATGGCATTTGGGAATTGTCCCATAGCTGCCTTTTCAGTGCAGTTCGATGTAAATTACAGCTGTTTGCCCTGGGAAGCCGGGCAGAGTAAGAACTCCTCGTTATTCTCTTACAGGGTATCTCCCCTTCAGAAGTCTGAGATAGTGGACGTGGTGAAGAAGCGGGTGAAGGCCATCACGCTTGCCATCGGGGATGGGGCCAATGACGTGGGGATGATCCAGACTGCCCACGTGGGCGTGGGCATCAGCGGGAATGAGGGCATGCAGGCCACCAATAACTCGGACTACGCCATCGCACAGGTGAGAGCGAGTGAGCAGCTGGCTTATCTGCTGGGCCGAGGCCGGGAGTGAATTTTCCCTCCCACCCCAGATGCTGCCTCCTCTTTTGAGGCTGCCATCTAGATGGACCTGTCAGTGCATTTGGGTTTCTCTGTCACTCTGACCTGGTTCATTTTGGGCCCCCGTCTTGCTGGTTGGGTTTTGTTCTGGTTCCCTGGTACCACTCTGACAAGAAAATATCACAAATGGGATGGTTTAAACAAACAGGTTTATTCTTACAGTTTGGAGGCTTAAAGTCCAAGTGCAAAGTGCCAGGCTTTAGGGGCTGGGTGAAAGCCCCTCAACCTTGGGGTCCAGCTCTGCCTCCTGCTCCTGGCCCACTGGAGCTAGAGGTATTTCTTCACTCAGACAGCTGCAGGCTGCTGAGGCTGAGAAGCCCCAAGGTTGACAAGTAAACAGGCACAGTCCCGATGTTACCAAACCACACGGCAGACCATTGACTTAAGTCCATTGTAAGTCCCAAGGTCAACAGAGCATGGCAGGCTGTTGAGCAATGACACGGCCACATGCAGGGTGCAAGCGTGCCATAGGCTAGAAACCATTCCCAAAGCTGTATCTTCTACAGGGGAAGCAGACCACATTCCAAAGGCAGCTACTCAGCTGCTTGTAGTAGATCCCACCATGGAGTTGATTGCCAGTCTCATCATGAGGGATAACTACCACCAGCTGTCCAGCCACTCAACCAGGCCCAGCCAAGTTGACACATAAATATAACCACCACAGGTTCCCTTTGGCTAGCCATGGGGTTGGCCAGGATGCCCTGTCCCCCGGTGAGACGTCATCCATGACCACTTGGCCTCTGGTCTTGCTACTAACTTCTTACCCTCAACTCCCAAGTCTTCTGCTTGCCCTTTTTCTCATCTTCATCCCTGCTGAGGAAGGGTTGCACACACAGAGTCCACTCTCTGTAGTTCATGTCCTGATATTTGCCTTCTTCCCGGAAGCTCTACTACACTCTCTTGTCAAACATTTAAGGTCAAGAGAGGACAGTGAGTTGAGACTTCTATGCTCCCTGTAATTGTTTCCCAGAGTGCTACCCAGGACCCCACCTGTGAGACCAGTTGCCTGGAGACATCAGCCAAGCTCTGGCCATGATGTCCTCATGGTCAGTAGCCAGCATTCCTGCAGGGAGGCCACGTTCCACTCTTCCTCTCTGATTCACGTGTACAGCATGCAGAGGTATACAGCTCACTTGGTAGGCACTGCATAGGTGGCTGAAGGACGAAGGAAGTCTCTCTTCCTTAGTGACAGCCAAAAGGTGAAGGGAAATGGCCACTTCTTGACCCTTGCCTGTTCCTCCAGAAAATCCAGACATAACAAACATACTTCCCTGTTTCCTCTTCAACTCCTAATTGCATTTATCATTACCAGTTGCTTTGGAGTCAACAGTGACTCATGGAAACACCATGTGTTAAGAGAAGAACCATGCTCTGTAGGGTTTCCAGTGGCTGAATTGTTTAGAAATAGAGGCCAGCCTTTCTTCCAAGGTGCCTCTGGGTGATCTCAAACCTCCAGCCTCTGGGTTAGCAGCTGAGCAGTTACCATTTGCATCACCCAAACCCAACCCATTGCCATCAAGTCAAATCTGACTCATAGTGACTCTGCAGGACAGAGTAGAACTGCCCCATAGGGTTTCTAAGGCATTGGTCTTTCTCCCACAGAGCGGCTGATGTTAGCAGCCAAGTGTTTAACCACTGTGCCACCAAGGCTGGACTTCCAAATTGCAGTGTGCCATGATAAAAAACCTGCTTTTTGCTGCTTAGCTGGAGTCCCCTCACACTTCTCCAAAGTACCAGAAACACTGAACTCGCTGCCATCCAGTCAGTTCCAACTTATAGGAACCCCTATTGGATTTCCAAAGCTGTAAATCTTTATGGAAGTAGAGTTGCCTCATCTTTCTTCCACAGAGCAGTTTGTGGGTTCCAACCACTGATCTTTTGGTTAGCAGCCAAGTGCCTTTCCCACTTACGCCACCAAAGCTCCTTCCTCCAAAGTAGTGCTTACTCTTTTTAAGAATGTGTTCTCTCTAACATAATACACAAAAATACTGTTCATGTCCTACTTTGGTGAGTAGCAAGTGGGATCTTAAAAACTTGCAAGAGGCCATCTAGATGCAACAATGGCTCTCTCCTCATCCAGAACAAAGAAGAATGAAGAAAACCAATGATCCTTGGAAACAGTTAGTCTGAGGACTGGTACACCATGTGATCCTCAGCCTTTATGACTATAAGACCAAAAGAACTAGACGGTGCCCAGCTACCACTGTCAACCACTCGGAGAGAGATCTGTGTAGGAGATCCTGGATAGAGTGGGAGAACAATGTGGAACAAAACTCAAAATTATTTTTTAAAAAAGATCAGGTTTCCCGCTCTGATAGAGCCTGGTGAAACTCCTGAGACTATGGCCCCTACCTACTCTTCAGGTCTGGAATTGAACGCACTCCTGTGGCTTCCAGCCAAACAATAGACAGGCATGTGGGCTGAACATTTACATCACGTAATACACTCCTTGGAGCTATCAGTCATGGGAGAACAGAAGGGCAGTGTTTGCACTGGGAGACTCGGGGCAGGAGTGCATGGGAGAGAAGGACACAGGGAAGAGATAACTATAGGGAAGAAATGGGAAGAGAACTATTACGTCGTGGGAAATTGCAGTCAATGTCACGAGACAAAATGTGTATGAACTGCTGTATGGAAAATGAATTTGCTCTGTAAACTTGCACCCAAATCACGATATTTTTTTTTTTTTTTTTTTTAAAGAATGTATTGCCTCATTCCCATGCATACAAAGAAGAAAAGCTTTCATCTTTCAAGCTAAAGGCAGGGGCTGCAAGTCTACATTGCAGAACCACACACAGCCCAGGCTTTCAGGCTGGTTCTCTGCAGATTCCGGCTCCACTAATCCCCCTCCCCCCAAGGAGAAGCCTGCACTAAATCACCTTCCAGCACCACTGGTCCTTTCCAGCTCCAGTGGTCTGTGAACGTAGCACACAGCCAGCGAGAGTCACAGAATCCTCGTGGCTCTGGGAAGTGAATGAAATCAGTATTCTTCCTTTGCTGTTTTCCCGAACATTCTCAAGATAATTCCTGAAGTAAGTAGGAGGAGGAATTCTGACGGCACAGGTGGGAAAACTGGGGCTCGCCGCATCAGGTGACCTGCCTGAAGTCCAGGCGTCAGCTGGCTGGTCACAGGGGAAGGACAGCAGGCCTGTGTGTGAGCAGGGGATGTAGCCAGCACACCTGCCTGCCGCCTTTCCCCAGTCAACTGCTCCCGGGCCGTTGGGAACTGCACTTCCTGGAGCCTGTCAGCGGCTCTATGTGTTATACGCCCCACCGTTATTAAATACTTGAGTTATAGCATCATGCGGCTGGAAGGGATCTTGAGAAGTTTCCTTGGAGTTCCAGGCAAATATTTGTCTGTCTTTTCCTTTAAAATGTCTAGGGAAGGGCAATTCCGCAACCTTCTTTGTTGAAACGGAATTCTAAAGGCTGTGGAATCCTGAGCAATTGCACTCTTCAAATTAATAGGTTCAAAGAAGGGTAGAGTGGGCAACCTAAATAGGGTTATATAACTGTTTAGGTTTTTGGGTTTTTTGTCCCTCCAGTATAACCTTTAAGGAGCTCTGGTCACATTTGACTGCTAACCAAAAGGTTGGCAGTTCCAACTCACCAGCTACTCCACAAAGGAAGATGGGGCAATCTGTTTCCATAAAGATTTACCGCCTCCGTAAATGGGGGTCACTGTGAGTTGGAATCGACTTAATGGCAGTGGGTTTTTGGGATTAGTATAACCTTTGCTTTTGCCAAAAGAAATTGTAAATGCTCTTGATCTTCTCCTGTTCATGTTTTTTTTTTTTTTTTTTTAATGATTGGGCAGAAATCATATTATTTCAGGACTGTATTCCTCCCTACTTTCACACACTCTCCACCCAGTAATACGCTTCCTTGACCTTAATTACTTGGTGGTTCCATGTAGAATTCTCACTTTCTATGCAGGAGCCCACACCACTCATCAGTTGGTTTCTCGTACTATAATAAACCCTTTAACACTCAAGTGTTCAAGAGCAAAGATGTCACTTTGAAGACTAAGGTGCACCTGATCCAAGCTGTGGTATTTCAATAGCCTCATATGCCTGTGAGAGCTGGACAGTGAATGTTGTTGTTGTTACGTGACGTCGAGTTGGACCCGACTCATAGCGACCCCTCCTTGGGTTTCCGAGGCAGTATCTCTATGGAAGTGGATTGCCCAGCCTTCCTTCCGAGGAGTGGCTGGTGGGCTTGAAGTGCCAGCCTTCTGGTTAGTAGTCAAGTGCCTTAGGCACTACACTACCAGAGCTCCTAGACAGTCAATAAGGAAGACCAAAGAAGAATTTGGCATTTGAATTGTTGTGTTGGCAAAGAATACTGAATGGACCATGGACTACTAGAAGACCGAGCAAATCTGTCTTGGAGGAAGTATAGCCAGAAGGCTCCTTAGAAACAAAAATGGCCAGACTTTCTCTCTCATACTTTGCTCACATTGTCAGAAGGGATGTACTGATATCCTGGAGAAGGGTATCATACTTGGTAAAGGAGAAGGTCGGCAAGAAAGGGGAAGGCCCTCAACACGATGGGTTGACACAGTGGCTGCAATGAGGAGCGCACATGTGGCAACAATTGAGCAGATGGTGCGGGACCGCGCAGTGTTTTGCTCTGTTGGACACTGAGTCGCTGTGAGTCAGAGCTGACTGGATGGCGCCTGCCATGCGGGAGACCCGGGTTCCAGTCCCAGCCGGTGCACCTCATGCAGAGCCGTCACCTGTCTGTCCGTGGGACCTTCCATGTTGCTCTGATGCTGAACAGCTCTCGGCAGATGTTCTGGTTCCCTGGTGTCTCTCTGACAAGAATATACCGTGAATGGGACAGTCTTAACAAACAGGAGTTTATTCTTACAATTTGGAGGCTTTAAGTCCAAGTTCAAAG